AATGAACATGCTTTGGGAATTTAACCTTAAAGGTGGGGTAGGTAAGTTTGAGAAACCGGCTCGAGATACACTTTTTGTTATATTCCATGGAATGCTCTTAACATCCCGATAGCAATGAATATCTTAAGTGCTTTGACAAAAAATCCATAAAAAAATTTCACCTGTGGAAGCCGTAGTAGGCCTACTGTAAAAAGTACGACCAATCACTTTAGCCGGCCCGGCTAAAATAACTGGATGGCCGACCTGCCTGTCAGCCTTCCATCTGTGCACAGACTTATCTCGTGCCCTCATTGGTCATGTGCGCGTTCGTGTGTGTTGGAGGAGGGGCTCTGTAAGGAAGTGGCAGATTTTTTCCGGCTGTGTATTTTCAAATTTTAGCGCACTCGAGCTGGTTTCTCCAAAATTACCTACCCCACCTTTAAGGTATAACGTATTTGATATATTAGACGTAAGAAAAAGACAAAATACATTTTGTCAATTTTCATTTGCACTACAGGATGAAAACAGTAAATTGCTGTGTTGTTACTAATCATCAAAAACTGAATGACATAACTTTAATAGCTGACACATTACAGCCCCTCACTCTCTCTCTTACTCTCACTCACTCACTCACTCACTCACTCACTCACTCACTAGTACAAGCAGACAAGAGTTTTCTTTTTTAAATATGGGTTACTATTATCATGATTTTAAACAGAGCAAGTCGACCTTCAGATGCACTTCAGCCGCCATTGGTGCTTTAAGATTCCCTGCATTTTAGTGTTCTTCCTTATTATCACTTATGATACAGCATTGATTATTTTAAATGCATTACACTTTACTTAAACATATAAAACGATGACACTGCATGAATTATCATACCTTTGAGTGCTTATTAGTCTTGATGGTTGAAGTGTGTTTAGGTAGTCAGAATGTATTCTAAGCCCCCTAAGTGAACCTGTAGTTTATAGTCAGGAGCATCAATATGACACTTGTAATTCATCATAATTCACATGTTCTATGACTGCTGATATGGGGTATCAGAAAGCATTGTGTGTTTGTGTGTAGTCCTAAAGCATTACACATGATATTTGGTTCACTAAATGCCCTCATAACACTCAACAGATTAGTTTAGAGAATATTAGGGAAAAACCTTTTTAGAAGCGAAGGGTATTAATGATTTATCAAATTGCTTATTAGACCTAATAAAACTGTATAAAGGTTTCGAAACAAGCTGCTGACCCTGATGAGGGTCACAAGCCAGAACGTGTTGGTCTCACAATAAAGTTGTTCTATACAAGTGTTGCTCTAGATTTGACCTCTTGTGACCTTTTCCTTTCTCCATGCAAATTGGGGTAGCGAAGGTTTTGCCAGCAAGTCAAAAGACTTAACATGGGCACAATTACATTTTTGCTTGTAATGTCAAGTACATTTTAAGCGTTGTAACTTAAAGAAAGTGAAGAGACAAAAAAAAGTATTCAGCGCTGATATAAAAATACTGCAATCGTCACTTATTATTGGCCTTGCAGGATGTTCAGTAGAAAACATGTGTAACAGATGTTGAATAGGTGTGTTTCCCATACCTGCAGGGTGGAGGCTGCTGAGTCACTAGTGTCTGTGAGTCCAGTGCCTCGTGGTAAACTGGACACGATGTATCTGGAGCCCTTTGGCACAGGCTGTCTGACCACCATCTTTCCTTTCCTGGTCTCTGCTAGAAGCATACTGTACCAGTAGGCGTCGTTGGAGACCAGAGTGGAGTCTGCGATGGTGGAGTTCCTCTCACTGATCACACTGTTCCTGCAGGGAGGAGCCGCTTTGCTTGGCTTGGGTTTCTGACACTTGATCACGATGGTGACCAGTATGGTGATCAGCAGGAGAAATGACACGGAGCCCAGACCGATGACCAGGTACAGGTTGAGGTCTGAGAAGATGTCATATTCTAGAGGCACCTCGGTCATGTCAGAGTAGGCCTTCACGGCAGTCTCCACTGTGGACAGCTTGATGGTGACTGTAGCAGAGAGGGCAGGCTCCCCGTTGTCTTTGGCAACAACAACCAGTCTCTGGTGGCGTGGGTCTCTGTAGCTGAACATCCTCATGGTCCGGATCTCTCCGTTGTATTGGTCCAGACTGAACAAGGTGGCGTCAGTCACCTGCAGAAACTGGTAGGTGATCCGGGAGTTGTGCACCGAGTCTGTGTCCAAGGCTATCACTTTAGAAACCAGAGAGCCTTTATCGGTGGATCTGGGGATCTTTTCCTCCACCACCGAGCCGTGTGCGCGCCACGGAGAGACAATAACCGGAGCGTTGTCGTTCTGATCCACAATGATGATGTGCACCGTCACGTTACTGCTGAGAGGAGGAGAGCCAGAGTCTCTGGCCTCGATGTGGAAGAGAAACTCCTTCTCAATCTCATAGTCAAACGTTTTAAGTGCGTAAAGATTCCCGTTCTCTGGGTTGATGGAGAACAGCATGGACATGGAGGTGTTGGCTATCTCCCTCTCTAAGATGAAATAAACTAGATACTGGTTTTCATGGAGGTCAGGGTCAAACGCAGTTGGGGAACTGAGCAGGGCTCCAGGAGCGTTATTCTCCTCCACACGTATAGTATAAAATGACTGAGGGAACTGTGGCACATTGTCATTAACATCCAGCAGCTCTAAGGTCATTGTTTCATTGTCAGATAAAGGAGGAGAGCCTCTGTCTGTCACAGTGAAAGTGATGTCATATTCAGGGTCCCTCTCACGGTCTAACGGCTCTGACACCACTAATTCATAATAGTTATCAGAGGACTCCCTCAGTTTGAAAGGCATGTTATCTGGAATGTGAAGATCAACCACTCCATTGTCCCCTGAGTCTTTATCACTGACACTCACCACTGCTATCACTGTGTCTAATTCTATGTTTTCTTTAATTGGACTTTGAAAAGACTTGATGGATATTTCTGGATGATTGTCATTCATATCTTTCACCTGTATTGTCAGTTTACACTGTCCTGTTAAGGAGTTAGGCCCCTTATCACTGGCAATAACTTCCATTTCATAAAGTTTAAAATCTTCATAATTTATCATCTCTTTCACTCTGATTTCACCATTTTCTGGATTTAAGTTAAACACCTGTTGTGTTCTCTCTGATGTATATAAACTATATGAATACATAATATCAGAATTTGACCCTTCGTCTAAATCGGTAGCTTTTAATTGTATTACTAGACTGCCAATGGGGGAATTCTCCATCACATCTATGATGTATTTGTCTTTATCAAATGACGGGGCGTTGTCGTTCACATCAAGCACGCGAACAATGATGCTGGCTGTACCTGTGCGCGTGGGCACTCCACCGTCCACAGCAGTGAGAATAAGATTATGAACAGCATGCTGCTCTCTATCTAATGCTTTTTTCAAAATCAAATCCGCAAACTTTGTCCCGTCTCTCCCGGTCTGAATTTCGATGGAGAAATGTTCACTTGAGCTCAGATGGTAATTGTTCACAGAATTTGTTCCAACATCTGGGTCTGCAGCATTGTTCAATGAGAATCTCTCTCCAACAGGGCTTGATTCAGATATGTCCAAATGCATCGTTCCCCGTCGGAAATGAGGAGCGTTGTCGTTAATGTCCGTGATTTCCACCTCAATGTTAAACATTCGTATCGGGTTTTCAATCGTAGCGTCTAACCTGAGAAAGCACGTTGTAGTTGTCTTCAATGGGCATAAAAACTCTCTGTCGATCCTTTCCTGCATGAACAGCTCTCCTGTGTCTTTGTTGATGTCGATATACTTTTTATTTCCTACGAGATCTACGCGCATTTTCCTATTATTCAGAGTCTTCACGTCTAATCCGAGATCAATTGCTAAATTAGCAACGATTGAGCCTTCTTCCATTTCTTCGGGAACAGAATAATGGGTGACGGGGGACACCGTGTGCATTATGGCAGAAAGAAAGAGAAATACGAAAACGTACCCTGTGCAGGAATACTGATGAATTAGACGAGCCATTGAACATAATCCGTATGAAACCTTCAAAGTGATATCCGTTGTCTTTTTCTCGTGACGAAAATAAATGTTGGTTTTATGAAAGCGTTTGTTAATGCTGCTGGTAATGGCAGAGATGTTTGTGAAATATGTCTGCCTGCCAAGTCTCGAATGAACTATCGTGAGAACGATGATATCATGAAGGACCTCCTCGTAAATGATAACTTTTTTTTTTGTGGAGAGCAGCGACATGAATAGTCCTTCATGAGGTTTTAAACCTTGGAGAAAATGTGTAGTGTCTACATCTCGTTGACTATCATACATTTCCAATCAAATATTAATTCAAAATGTGTGATAAAATACTTTGAACGTGTTTACAGTATTTCGTGTTTTAAACTTTATTCTAGGAACGTGTGAGCATTAACTACAGTTTTGCTTTTTCTGTTCAACTGTCTTTAATACAACGGGTCTTTAATATGTTGATTTAATTACATTAATAATACACAATGAACTATCGTTTCATATATATGATGCCACTGTCCTTTCCTTCGTGTCACACTTACAAGCGGATTGGTGTTGCTGAAATCATTAAAATATGTTGAGATATGTTGATGCACTCTTGTTCAGTCTTTTTAATTTTTAATTTAAATGTCATTTGTAAATTATGTGTTTATGTCATGTTCCCACAAAGAGCGCAATCAATTGTTTTTTTGTTGCCTGTCCACCTTGAGCCAAATCTAAGAACAATGTGCAAGAAACCCTGATGTATCGAAGGGGCAAACATTGCAAATATCCAATGATATACTCTATCTAATGTTACAAGAAGCAAATACTTGTATGAACATTTCAATTATATCTGCAAGTAACCTTGTACCAACGAAGGTAGACATGTTTTTATACACACCTATTAAACAATAACATAATTTAATTTTTAAGAGAGAGCTGTGGGCAATACACATATATAATGTAGTTTGCAAAAGGACCATACTTTTTATAGCTTTTTTGATTGAAAATCTCTGAGAATATGCATGTTTAATTGAGGTGTTTCCATACCTGCAGAGTGGAGGCTGCTGATCCACTAGTGTCTGTGAGTCCAGTGCCTCGTGGTAAACTGGACACGATGTATCTGGAGCCCTTTGGCACAGGCTGTCTGACCACCATCTTTCCTTTTCTGGTCTCTGCTAGAAGCATACTGTACCAGTAGGCGTCGTTGGAGACCAGAGTGGAGTCTGCGATGGTGGAGTTCCCCTCACTGATCACACTGTTCCTGCAGGGAGGAGCCGCTTTGCTTGGCTTGGGTTTCTGACACTTGATTACGATGGTGACCAATATGGTGATCAGCAGGAGAAATGACACGGAGCCCAGACCGATGACCAGGTACAGGTTGAGGTCTGAGAAGATGTCATATTCTAGAGGCACCTCGGTCATGTCAGAGTAGGCCTTCACGGCAGTCTCCACTGTGGACAGCTTTATAGTGACTGTAGCAGAGAGGGCAGGCTCGCCGTTGTCCTTGGCAACGACAACCAGTCTCTGGTGGCGCGGGTCTCTGTAGCTGAACATCCTCATGGTCCGGATCTCTCCGTTGTATTGGTCCAGACTGAACAAGGTGGCGTCAGTCACCTGCAGGAACTGGTAGGTGATCCGGGAGTTGTGCACCGAGTCTGTGTCCAAGGCTATCACTTTAGAAACCAGAGAGCCTTTATCGGTGGATCTGGGGATCTTTTCCTCCACCACCGAGCCGTGTGCGCGCCACGGAGAGACAATAACCGGAGCGTTGTCGTTCTGGTCCACAATGATGATGTGCACCGTCACGTTACTGCTGAGAGGAGGAGAGCCAGAGTCTCTGGCCTCGATGTGGAAGAGAAACTCCTTCTCAATCTCGTAGTCAAAAGTTTTGAGTGCGTAAAGATTCCCGTTCTCTGGGTTGATGGAGAACAGCATGGACATGGAGGTGTTGGCTATCTGCCTCTCTAGGATGAAATAAACAAGATACTGGTTTTCATGGAGGTCAGGGTCAAACGCAGTTGGGGAACTGAGCAGGGCTCCAGGAGCGTTATTCTCCTCCACACGTATAGTATAAAATGACTGAGGGAACTGTGGCACATTGTCATTAACATCCAGCAGCTCTAAGGTCATTGTTTCATTGTCAGATAAAGGAGGAGAGCCTCTGTCTGTCACAGTGAAAGTGATGTCATATTCAGGGACCCTCTCACGGTCTAACGGCTCTGACACCACTAATTCATAATAGTTATCAGAGGACTCCCTCAGTTTGAAAGGCATGTTGTCTGGAATGTGAAGATCAACCACTCCATTGTCCCCTGAGTCTTTATCACTGACACTCACCACTGCTATCACTGTGTCTAATTCTATGTTTTCATTGACTGGACTCTGAAAGGATTTAATAGATATTTCTGGGTGGTTGTCATTCATGTCTTCAACCATAATTTGTACAGTGCATTGTCCAGATAAACTATTGACTCCTTTATCTGTTGCTATAACCTCCATATCATACATCCTGAAATCCTCATAATTTAACATTCCTTTAACAGTAATTTCACCAGAGGAAGGATTCAGATTAAATGTTTCCTGCGTTTTCTCTGATGTATATAAACTGTAGGAGTATGTTATATCAGAATTTGAACCCTCGTCTAGGTCTGTTGCATTGAGATGAACAACAAGACTTCCAATGGGAGAGTTTTCCATTATCTTGATGCTGTAATTTGTTTTGTCAAAAGTAGGAGTGTTGTCATTTATGTCCGAAACATGCACAATAATACTTGCAGTGCCAGAACGTGCAGGTGTGCCTCCATCTACAGCTGTGAGAATTAAATTATGCACAGCCTGCTGCTCTCGGTCTAAACTCTTTGTTAAGATTAATTCTGCAAATTTCGATCCATCTCTTCCAGTCTGAACTTCAATATTAAAATGTTCACTTTCACTCAGGTGGTATGTTTTCACTGAATTACTTCCGACATCAGGATCAACTGCATTGCTGAGAGAGAATCTCTCTCCTTTCGGCGTTGCTTCAGATATATCTAAATGTATGGCGTCTCTCCGAAATTGCGGGGCGTTGTCGTTAACATCCAGAATTTCTACTTCTATATTAAAGATTCGTAGTGGATTTTCTAGTATAACCTCCAGTTTGAGATAACAAGACAACTTTGCAAGACACATGTATTCTCTGTCAATCTTCTCTACAATATACAGTTCTCCAGTCTCTTTGTTCACTTCCAGATATTTCTTATTTGCAATAATGTCAAGACGCATCTTTCTCTGATTCAAAGTCTTAACATCCAGGCTGAGATCTGTAGCAATGTTAGCTACAACTGATCCTTCCTTCATTTCCTCCGGTATTGAATAATGAGTCACTGAAGTCGATATGTTACGAACGAAAGAAAGAAAAACAACAAGCACCACGTACCTTCTGCAAGACTGCATTTTTAAAAATGACCCCATTGTTGCGTGCAACGTCACTGCACCTTTAGCGATTTAATGTACCTTTCCCTTGATATTGCAGTTTGCAATCTTGGCTTTCATCCCAAACATGTTCATGTAGAGGTAATCCAAATATTTCAATTTCGGTATGAAAAAGGAAAATCGCGTTTCTGGAGTGGAGTTTCAGCACCACTGAGCTCTCCGGTTGTTTCACGATCTACGGTGATTCAGTGTCATGGCGTTTGTGTAATAATGTATTTTAGAGAAACAGCGCCACCTTTTGCTTTTTGAACGGCTATGTGCTTAACATGAGGCACAATAAGCAATAAATACATTTTAAATGTTTTGTATGGATTTAAAACGTTTTTTTAAGCAGATATGCTGGAAATGAATGTTAAACTAATAACGATGTCTCCTATACATTTCTAAAATGCTAAATCAAATCTCAGCTAATATTGGTACAAAATAAATAGAAAAACATATGACATATACATTTGAGCTCACCTTGATCCTTAAAATCTAAATTAATTCAGCGTCAGTAGCCTTTCGTTCGCCATTTTCTCGTATCACTTGAATGAAAAGTATAATTGCGCACGGACTGTGATGTCACAAGAGTATATATGACTGGGGAACAGTGACGCTTTGTGCAAAAAAGAGACCAATTTAACAGGGTTTGCTGAATGATTATTTTAAATCAACCTAGTGGTGTGTAGTACGAGTCAGCTTAAACAATTAGAGTTTTGTCTTTTAAGTATTCATAAGATACCTGTACATTTTTTTCATGGAATTATTTCATTTCGTCTTTAATTTCTCTGTTGGATGATTAGTAACCATGTGCAAAACCCTGAGTAATGACTGATAAGAATCAGAGTAAAAACATTGGGATTGAAGATGTTTAAGGGCTTTGAACAAATAACATCTGGGTGTTTGACTCTTAAAGATACTCTCATTATTGTTTTGCTGTCACCCACACGACCGTCTTTATAAAGCACATGTACACTGATTTACAAACTTGATATTTAACGTTTTCAATCCCAGACTATTGAGGAATCTTGAATTATGGGGTTATTTTGACACGTGAAGCAGCGAGGTTGCCTTTAATGAGAGTTTCAGCACCACGGAGCTGTCCGGATGTTTGACGCTGTACCGTTTTTCCAATGGTTCCTTCTCAAGGTGACCGTGGGTTACGTTTTGTCTAATGTAAATCACAGCTCTTTGAAAATTGATGGATCATGTAATGGGGATGCTTAAAAAGCACAGATTAAAGTTTAAAGGTGAGCTCAACATGAGAGACTGCAGCAGATATTGTTAAATATAATGATGTTGTTTTTTTGTTTGTAAACTTTGTTTTGATAACGTTATATTTCAAACCTTCTACAATGTTATATGGCACGCTACGTTATGACGAACACAAGATTATACGAGACAAGTTAGAACTATGGTCATACCTGCAGGGTGGAGGCTGCTGATCCACTAGTGTCTGTGAGTCCAGTGCCTCGTGGTAAACTGGACACGATGTATCTGGAGCCCTTTGGCACAGGCTGTCTGACCACCATCTTTCCTTTCCTGGTCTCTGCTAGAAGCATACTGTACCAGTAGGCGTCGTTGGAGACCAGAGTGGAGTCTGCGATGGTGGAGTTCCTCTCACTGATCACACTGTTCCTGCAGGGAGGAGCCGCTTTGCTGGGCTTGGGTTTCTGACACTTGATCACGATGGTGACCAGTATGGTGATCAGCAGGAGAAATGACACAGAGCCCAGACCGATGACCAGGTACAGGTTGAGGTCTGAGAAGATGTCATATTCTAGAGGCACCTCGGTCATGTCAGAGTAGGCCTTCACGGCAGTCTCCACTGTGGACAGCTTGATGGTGACTGTAGCAGAGAGGGCAGGCTCCCCGTTGTCCTTGGCAACAACAACCAGTCTCTGGTGGCGCGGGTCTCTGTAGCTGAACATCCTCATGGTCCGGATCTCTCCGTTGTATTGGTCCAGACTGAACAAGGTGGCGTCAGTCACCTGCAGGAACTGGTAGGTGATCCGGGAGTTGTGCACCGAGTCTGTGTCCAAGGCTATCACTTTAGAAACCAGAGAGCCTTTATCGGTGGATCTGGGGATCTTTTCCTCCACCACCGAGCCGTGTGCGCGCCACGGAGAGACAATAACCGGAGCGTTGTCGTTCTGGTCCACAATGATGATGTGCACCGTCACGTTACTGCTGAGAGGAGGAGAGCCAGAGTCTCTGGCCTCGATGTGGAAGAGAAACTCCTTCTCGATCTCGTAGTCAAACGTTTTTAGTGCGTAAAGATTCCCGTTCTCTGGGTTGATGGAGAACAGCATGGACATGGAGGTGTTGGCTATCTCCCTCTCTAGGATGAAATAAACTAGATACTGGTTTTCATGGAGGTCAGGGTCAAACGCAGTTGGGGAACTGAGCAGGGCTCCAGGAGCGTTATTCTCCTCCACACGTATAGTATAAAATGACTGAGGGAACTGTGGCACATTGTCATTAACATCCAGCAGCTCTAAGGTCATTGTTTCATTGTCAGATAAAGGAGGAGAGCCTCTGTCTGTCACAGTGAAAGTGATGTCATATTCAGGGACCCTCTCACGGTCTAACGGCTCTGACACCACTAATTCATAATAGTTATCAGAGGACTCCCTCAGTTTGAAAGGCATGTTATCTGGAATGTGAAGATCAACCACTCCATTGTCCCCTGAGTCTTTATCACTGACACTCACCACTGCTATCACTGTGTCTAATTCTATGTTTTCTTTAATTGGACTTTGAAAAGACTTGATGGATATTTCTGGATGATTGTCATTCATATCTTTCACCTGTATTGTCAGTTTACACTGTCCTGTTAAGGAGTTAGGCCCCTTATCACTGGCTATAACTTCCATTTCATAAAGTTTAAAATCTTCATAATTTATCATCTCTTTCACTCTGATTTCACCATTTTCTGGATTTAAGTTAAACACTTGTTGTGTTCTCTCTGATGTATATAAACTATATGAATAATTAATATCAGAATTTGACCCTTCGTCTAAATCGGTAGCTTTTAATTGTATTACTAGACTGCCAATGGGGGAGTTTTCCATCACATCTATGATGTATTCGTCTTTATCAAATGACGGGGCGTTGTCGTTCACATCAAGCACGCGAACAATGATGCTGGCTGTACCTGTGCGCGTGGGCACTCCACCGTCCACAGCAGTGAGAATAAGATTATGCACAGCCTGCTGCTCTCTATCTAATGCTTTTTTCAAAATCAAATCCGCAAACTTTGTCCCGTCTCTCCCGGTCTGAATTTCGATGGAGAAATGTTCACTTGAGCTCAGATGGTAATTGTTCACAGAATTTGTTCCAACATCTGGGTCTGCAGCATTGTTCAATGAGAATCTCTCTCCAACAGGGCTTGATTCAGATATGTCCAAATGCATCGTTCCCCGTCGAAAATGAGGAGCGTTGTCGTTAATGTCCGTGATTTCCACCTCAATGTTAAACATTCGTATCGGGTTTTCAATCGTAGCGTCTAATCTGAGAAAGCACGTTGTTGTCTTCAAGGGGCATAAAACCTCTCTGTCGATCCTTTCCTGCATGAACAGCTCTCCTGTGTCTTTGTTGATGTCGATATACTTTTTATTTCCTACGAGATCTACGCGCATTTTCCTATTATTCAGAGTCTTCACGTCTAATCCGAGATCAATTGCTAAATTAGCAACGATTGAGCCTTCTTCCATTTCTTCGGGAACAGAATAATGGGTGACGGGGGACACCGTGTGCATTATGGCAGAAAGAAAGAGAAATACGAAAACGTACCCTGTGCAGGAATACTGATGAATTAGACGAGCCATTGAACATAATCCGTATGAAACCTTCAAAGTGATATCCGTTGTCTTTTTCTCGTGACGAAAATAAATGTTGGTTTTAAGAAAGCGTTTGTTAATGCTGCTGGTAATGGCAGAGATTTTTGTGAAATATGTCTGCCTGCCAAGCCTCGAACGAACTATCGTGAGAACGATGATATCATGAAGGACCTCCTCGTAAATTATAACTTTTTTTTTTGTGGAGAGCAGCGACATGAATAGTCCTTCATTAGGTTTTAAACCTTGGAGAAAATGTGTAGTGTCCACATCTCGTTGACTATCATACATTTCCAATCAAATATTTATTCAAAATGTGTGATAAAATACTTTGAACGTGTTTACAGTATTTCGTGTTTTAAACTTTATTCTAGGAACGTGTGAGCATTAACTACAGTTTTGCTTTTTCTGTTGAACTGTCTTTAATAAAACGGGTCTTTAATATATTGATTTAATTACATTAATAATACACAATAAACTATCGTTTCATATATATGATGCCACTGTCCTTTCCTTCGTGTCACACTTACAAGCGGATTGGTGTTGCTGAAATCATTAAAATATGTAGAGATATGTTGATGCACTCTTGTTCAGTCTTTTTAATTTTTAATTTAAATGTCATTTGTAAATTATGTGTTTATGTCATGTTCCTACAAAGAGCACAATCAATTGTTTTTTTGTTGCCTGTCCACCTTGAGCCAAATCTAAGAACAATGTGCAAGAAACCCTGATGTATCGAAGGGGCAAACATTGCAAATATCCAATGATATACTCTATCTAATGTTACAAGAAGCAAATACTTGTATGAACATTTCAATTATATCTGCAAGTAACCTTGTACCAACGAAGGTAGACATGTTTTTATACACACCTATTAAACAATAACATAATTTAATTTTTAAGAGAGAGCTGTGGGCAATACACATATATAATGTAGTTTGCAAAAGGACCATACTTTGTATAGCTTTTTTGATTGAAAATCTCTGAGAATATGCATGTTTAATTGAGGTGTTTCCATACCTGCAGAGTGGAGGCTGCTGATCCACTAGTGTCTGTGAGTCCAGTGCCTCGTGGTAAACTGGACACGATGTATCTGGAGCCCTTTGGCACAGGCTGTCTGACCACCATCTTTCCTTTCCTGGTCTCTGCTAGAAGCATACTGTACCAGTAAGCGTCGTTGGAGACCAGAGTGGAGTCTGCGATGGTGGAGTTCCCCTCACTGATCACACTGTTCCTGCAGGGAGGAGCCGCTTTGCTTGGCTTGGGTTTCTGACACTTGATCACGATGGTGACCAATA